TTTATTAGTCTGACAAAAAGATAGATAAAAAGAAAATATACCTGTAATTAATGTGGATATTTAGTGTGAGGTAATATAAGCCTTTGTTTGTTAGTGGAATCATGACTAACAGCGTATTCAGGCTGGTGTTTTGCCACTAAAGACAACATCATCCCTACTCATGCTCTTACTAGCTGGCCCCAGGCTGTGTTGAAAAGTAAAGAGTGGCATCATGGGACGGACGAGCCCCGCATGTTTTCAGTGATTCATATGGAAATTAGTTTGTGATGGGAAAAGAAAACTGTGTGCGTATTAAAAACGAGCCAAGACAAATATGTTCTCATATATTTGTCATCGTGGAAGAGCATGTCATAATTTATGATGACATGCTTTATAAAAGTTTGAGATTCATATTGGGCCACTTGTGTATATGCTTGGGATGATGGCATTGCGCAGGCGACCCCAGCACCCCTGCGCAACAGCTGTTCACTGAGTTATGCTGAGTCAGACACCATTAGTTGTTATCCTCCCCCTCTTAGTGTCCAACCCAGCACTAATGTGGGTCAGGGGCCACATTACAGAAACACCTTAACTGTGCAGTCTTATCTCTAAGTGCATTGCAGGATTTCTGCTGTCACAGGACTGTAACTGAATGTCACTGGGAGTTTCCAGAATATTGACATGAAATGGAAATGTTGGGGGATATGTTGGGAAAAAATTTCCCTGCGGTCAATATTTTTAATATTAATTTAAATTCCAAATTGTTGCATTTGAAGTTATTCGGAAAGCTTGGGTAGGTCATATTAGAGAAACTAGCAATAGTTCGCTAGATTTTAAAATGATCCAACCAAAAAACCTAGCCCAGTGATGAAAGTAGCTAGCAGCACTAGCTCCAAAAGTAAATTTAACCAGGTAGTCGCCAAGTCTGCCAGCCCATTCCTACAGGCCTCCATCCAAAGCCACTGCCCGAGAATTATCATTAGGACCATAAACGAGTGGCTTGAGGTAGTTAGGATTGGCCCCAGTGACCGCTATTATGACGGCCCCTAGTGCACACTAGATACTAGTTATAAAACAGACACACACACCATCGTATTGTCTCATCACATGATCAAACAGATACTTCACATTGGGGAATGTCAGCATACATATTACCCAGCAATCATCATTATGTATCTATATATGACAAGAATATCAGAGAAAATATATTTTGTATTTATAGTATCTATAATCTATGTGTAGAGTAGGCCTATAATGTTGCCTTTATACTACTACTTCTGATTACTTCACCCAAAATGATTTACTATTGATGTTTATACAAACACAGGCATGTTACTGATAAACAAATGAAGTAAATCTCTATCACTGCACAACATGAACATAATATTAATGAATGTAAACAAGGAATATGGTTGTTGTGAGTGTTCCCAGCTGTCAAGCTAGCAGTTTGCGGTAGCCTCTAGTGAAGCGCAATGAGTTCATAATGACGGTGTTATTACAGAATTTCAACAAATATAACAAAAGAAATTACAAAACACATCCACCCTAGCTTCAACTGGCTTGTGTGACCGATTTTTCATTCTGTTTTGTGGCTGTAATATATCATGGTCTACTGAGATCTCTGTGGAGAGACTGGTTGTCTTTGCTTCTTCTATCTGTTTGGTGAACATCACATATTCGTTCTGCTACCACACTCTTACCTTGATCTCACAGCGTCTCTACATTGTGCCAGTTATGCATATTAATCAGAGACGTTTACAGAAATGAAAGCTACACTGCTAAAAGGATTTTTTTCCTTCAGTGTTTTTGTTAGAGAAAATGGACATTTTTCATGCTATTGAATACGTTCGGTCACAAAATGTACCATCCTGTATTTTGTCTTTTCTTTTGAAGGGCACAATCAGCACACAATGAATCAGTGCAAAAATAAAACACAAGATACATTCATTACATGTTGTTCTGGGTCAAATGATCAGGGACATTAAAATAAAAGTAGTGAGATGTACACTCACACATAGACATTAACCGTACATGAGCAGATAATTAGGATTTTATTTGCATAAATTGCCCTAGGGCAGCTGCCTATTCTGTGGATTATATGCTCCTGCATGGGACACACTTCAGCTGGTGCCACTAATGATGCTCCTGCATTATGCTTCTCTCATTCAGCAGTGCCCAGGTGAAGGGGTCACATCGCAGGCTCACTCTTACTCTGATTACATTCTGTTACAAAGAGGCCCAATCATTATACTGATTAGACCCCCTCTTAGTAAACCATTGAATCATATGGTGCTGCAATTTATGTGGACAGTGTGTATGTGTGTGCCTAAAGTGGTCATTATGTGGGAGGAATCTGCAGAGGGAGACACAAGAAAAACCTCCTGTACAGAAGTGTGTGTGTGTGTGTGTGTGTGTGTGTGTGTGTGTGTGTGTGTGTGTGAGTGGCACAATCACATTGGCCATCTAGAAACATTTCAACACTGCATTAAACAAAGTAATTTTATTGATTTAATCGTTGCGTATTGCACTGAATACTAGGATTGAGTGTTTTTTTCAATACCTGACTACACTGACTATAAGTATGTTTAATTTTGGGTTTACACAAACCGCTGCATAGAAATCATACTGCCTTGATTTTATACAAAATAAATCAACTAAATGATTAATAAAATCAGGTACTGTGTTAAGATTTGGTACCCAACAGTTTTCGATACTTTGATACCAAAAACACATTTTGGTCGGAGCTTAAATAAATTGTGATCCAGCCCTTCATGGATATCAAGAAAACTTAAAAATATTTCCCATATTGGTTCCCAAAATTAAAGCAATAATAGTTAACTGAGAAGACAGACTCAGGCAATTAGTATGTTCCCATGAACATTGAGCATTATATGAGGTACCGCTTTTAATGCAAGGAGTAAGGATGTAGCTCTGCATTACCAATGAACTGCATTAGAAAGCCGTTGAACATTTAAACGGGCCAAGTCAGCAGCAACCGAGAGCCAGACATACGGTGCCCACTAACCATAGCGATATAGCTTTTTAGAAAGTGGAGCAAGGGGGAAGTAGAGACAGCAAAATGGAAAAAACAATCCATATCAGTTACTGATACAAATGCCAACACATGATGCACAAATGCCATGAATACATACAAATATTTTATAGGATTAAAAACAACATAAAACACAGGCCAACAACATGCAGATGAATACTATAGCAGATTTGTGTGTCACCATCTAGATATATTGTAGAACAGGAATGCTTAAGATCATATCATTGTTTCTCTTTTGATGGGTATGCCATCATATTATCTTTGTACCACAATCTGTATGCATATTAAAAGCCTGGGGAGAAATTCAGATTATTCCTCTCCTGATTTAAATTTAGCTCAGCCCATGAAACACCAAATGAGGCAGAGATGGTTTGCAATCTTTGCAACCTCTCACCTAGTCTGTTTGTGGCAAGCAGTGCATTCATTTTGTATATGCTCATCTTCATGTCCTCATGTGGTATGTATGAGCAGGTGCTTATGTGATATACATATATGAGTAGGCATGGAAACAACTGCATAACAAGTAGATTTAGGAAGGACCAGGTGGTGTTTTAACCCTCTAAAGTCTGACACATGAAAAAAATGTATTTTTAAGGTTGAGGGGTTTGTTGAACCATTCGTCAGAATAGATGAAAATATTATTTAATTTTGATTTGCATATATTATTTTTAAAAGGATATATAGGTGAGCCACATGTACAAAAGAAGCCAGATATTTCTCACCTAATTTATCTATGTGCGCCTCCAGCAAGGTCACTTGAAACGGAGTGGGCTAATCTCAATATTTTTCACTGCAAAAGTACAGAAAGTAGATATACGAATTATTTTTTTATTAATTTATGCTGCATAATGATTTTTTTTTGCTTTGCTGTAGCAGCCTTGCACAACCAAGACATGGTTTTATAAAGTGGATGTTGAAATTGATTACGAGTAAAACATTGGCATGACAATGTAGTAAATTGATAGATTTTTCTCTCATTTTTGAATTACTTACAAGGTGAAATATCTATCAGGTAGGCTGACTCTCTTTTGCCATTGGACTCATTTGAATGGATTTGGAACAATTACCAGAATAATTGATTTTGTCCATCCACCAATTGTTTGCATATTGTTTGAATCAGTTTTTAAATTGGATTAAAAATATTCAATGTCAGACCTTTTGTTTATTGGCATTTGAGACCTTTGTGGTAATTGTTGATTCCCTCCAACCATTTTGTTTTTGTTGATTGAGTTCGGTGACACTTGTCCATGAACTGCATAAAGTGCCAAGTATTTTTTTCATGATTGATTTCTTTCATTCATCCACTTTAGCATGTTTGGAATGGTTTCTTCTGGGAGAGAGAGTGCAGTATCTTTTTTAATAATGTCCGACAGAGACTGGTGATACGTGTGAAAAAACAAAACCATGTCTAGTAGAGATGCAACATGTTTGCACAGAGTCCAACTGATGTGTTTTGTTTTCTGGCTTAGATTTGCAGTATACACTATCAAAACTATCTAAAGGGATACAATGACACATACATAATTTGATTTTGGTGAAAATCAAAATATGTACAAACGCACACCTGGGAAGCATTTTAACCAGCACTGTTGTGCCTTAATCAGTATCCCATGGGTGAAAGGAAAACAAAGAGAGTAAACATATTCAACTGGAAGAAGTAAGAGAAAGATGTTCTTTAATTCAAAGACTAAGAAATATCCAGCCAAAATATGGAGTGCAGCAGTTCAGCCTGTATTTGAATAAGTAAGTAGATGGGAAGAGGATGGAAGGAATGTGAAATTTGTGTGCAGCGAGGTCTATCCAATTATACACAATACTAGTAAAGGCACCTGAGGCTATTTTGCTCTTTACCAGTCCTGTCATGTTATTTGTAATATTAACTAGCATTACTTCCAAAGCCACCACCAGGCCCATCCTGAGTGACTAACCTCTCTCTTTCTCTCTTTGTTCTTTCCCTCTTGTTGTGCAGAACCGTGACAGAATGGTCGACTGTATGAGCAAAGTCATGCTGCACACGGTCGTCTCATGCTGGCAACCATTCCTGGGACTGGCCCTCGTGGCTGTCTTTGTGGGTTCCACCCTGGGATGTCCCTCGCGCTGCGAGTGTTCAGCGCAGACCAAGGCAGTTGTCTGTCACCGCAAGCGCATGCCCACCATCCCGGACGGCATCCCGACCGAGACCAGAATCCTGGACCTTAGTAAGAACAAGCTAACAATGATCAATCCTGATGATTTTTTTGCCTTTCCTGGGCTTGAGGAACTTGACCTCAGTGGAAATATTATCAGTTATGTTGAGCCTGGAGCTTTTAATGCCCTGTTTACCATGCACTCACTCAGTCTCAAGAGCAATCGTATCAAGCTCATTCCTCTGGGCGTCTTCACAGGCTTAACAAATCTTACCCAACTGGATATAAGTGACAACAAGATCGTCATCCTACTGGATTACATGTTCCAGGACTTGCACAATCTGAAGTTTTTGGAAGTGGGTGACAATGATCTGGTTTACATTTCTCACCGTGCATTCAGTGGACTTTTAAGCCTGGAGATGCTAACCTTAGAAAGGTGCAACCTTACAGTTGTACCCACTGAGGCCCTTTCCCACCTGCATAACCTGGTCAGCCTCCATTTACGATACCTCAGCATCAGCACTTTGCATCCTTACTCATTCAAAAAGCTGTTCCGGCTGCGGCATTTAGAAATTGATAATTGGCATTCTCTAGACCATGTGCCAGCCAACACCCTGCATGGCCTAAACCTGACCGCTCTGTTCATAACCAACACCAACATATCCTCCTTCCCTTACCAAGCCCTGAAGCATCTGCCCTACCTGACAAACCTCAACCTGTCCTTCAACCGCATCAGGCACATTGAAGGTGGGATGCTGATGGAACTGGTACGGCTTCAAGAGCTCCATCTGGTTGGAACTCAGTTAACCACCATTGAACCATATGCCTTCCAGGGCCTGCGGGGACTCAAAGTCCTTAATGTCTCTCACAACCGACTGGATACACTGGAGAAGGGTGTTTTTCAGTCTCCTGAGGCTCTGGAGGTTCTTCTGATTGACAACAACCCCTTGGTGTGTGACTGTCGTCTCATGTGGATCCTACAGAAAAGGCACTCCATCTTCTTTGGGGAATCGCAGCCAGAGTGCAGCACACCTGAAGGGATTCGTGGCAGGCCTTTTAAAGAGTTTAAGGAGACTCTCCTGTCTTATTACGTGACATGTACTAAGCCAAGAATTCGTGAGAACAAAACACAAACAACCACTGTGGATGAGGGCCAGCAGGCGATGTTGCGCTGCAGTGCTGAAGGAACACCAAGGCCCCTGGTGTCCTGGTTGTCCCCACGTCGACGAGTTCTGACAAGTAGGAGCCATGGAAGAGTTACTGTCCACAACAATGGTACACTGGAGATCAAGTCAGCAGAGGTGCAAGACAGCGGCGTGTACCTTTGCCTTGCCTCCAACAGTGCTGGGAATGACACCCTGATGACTTCATTGGCGGTGAAAAGTCTGGGATCACTGTATGCTAACAGGACCCAGTACTACACAGATCCCAGCAATACCACTGCCAACGCCACGGCCGGTGTGACCCTCGGTTTAGACCTAAAGACTATTTTAGTGTCAACTGCCATGGGTTGTTTCACATTCTTGGGAGTGGTCTTGTTTTGTTTCCTGCTTCTTTTCGTTTGGAGCAGAGGGAAAGGAAAACATAAAAACAACATTGATGTTGAATATGTGCCTCGGTCAAAGTCTAACGGCACTAACGTTGACTCCGCAGAGGGACAAGCTGGTCCTCGTCGTTTTAACATGAAAATGATGTAACTTATTTTATAGATCCAAGATTCTGGACTGTGGAAATGCCCAAAGTACAATGTATTTTTGAAAATCAGACTACTGAACTTCCCACTGCTTCTGGGAGAGTGGTAGTGAAAACATTTGGGGCATCATAACAAGATGAGCAGTATCTTAAATCACTGGATGTTGACATAATGCTTGAATATACTGTGTTCTTAAATACCGAAAGTCGTAGAAGGACATCCTCTGACATGACTGCCTGCGGGCAACTTCTTCAACATGGATAAGGAGTGAATACTGTTGCCGCTATGGGGACCTGAAGGGAATATGTGTCATTTATCAGCTTTTTGAAGTTTATATGCCCAAAAGAAGAACGTTTCAGTTTTGGGTTGGATCTACAGACTTGGCTGAACCATGTACAGTACAAATTTGTAACTAAGCTATTAACCTACTTTGTTTAGTCTTGCGCCATGCTTATTCACTGAACAAATCAATGAAGCAGACCATCATTTCCTATGTTCCATACTTTGCATATATGTACCTAATGCTTCATTATGTACATGTATATTCATTCAAAAGAACTATTCATAGCAATATTCATGGGATGCATTAGCCAAAATTGATATACCCGATATGTTCAGCAAGAACATTTTTCAGACTTTTGAAGATTCCATGGATTCAGGAAGGGCTTCTATGGGTGATTATATGTCCCCGCTCCCCCAATTGACTCCTAGATATTAATAAATATATATTATTTATCAATGAAAAAATAAGAAAAAATATTTTATTTATGTAAAATGTTGAGCATTTTACAAAAATCAGTCCTCAAACATTGTTCACTTGGATTAACATAACGGTGACCCAGTATTGGTCAAAGTACCTATGAACCACCTCTTTGTCCTATTTTTGTCTCTTTTTTTATTACTTTAACTGTACCGTTGCTGGTTGGCAAAATACATGTGTCAATTTTACTACAGTGACATTTGCATAATTCTCCCCAGTAGGAAATTTGGACTTTGTTGTGGTAGTTCCTCATTTTGTTGTTGAATCATTTAGATTGTGAAAACTTCAAAGTAAAAGTAAAAAAAAATGTATGTGAAATAAATGAAGATGTATTTGTACCAATGAGTCTGACTAAATGGCTAATACGTAATGAAATCTTCAGCCTCAATGATGGACATCACAGTCCTCTTACGAGTATTGAGGTATGGAACAACATGCAGCAATGACATAAGGAATTTGTACTTTTTTCATGAACTCATGACCAGGTCTTTAAGTTTTCAGAAACATTTTTTTAAAAATGTGACTTGTCCACCATTTGGTACAACATGACAGTATATAAAAATATGAGATATGTTATTACTTACATATACCGTACTTAAAAATACCAATATATTAAAGGATTCTAACATGCAATGATGCACAGCTGTAATACTTCCCTATAAAGTTCATTCATTTTGATAACAGTAATGTGTGAGAAAACTGTCTCAGTATTGCTAAACTTTAATATTTTGTATAACAATATGGACAATCCCATGACAGTACATTACCAAACATTTACTGTTGTGCTGTATAAATTTATTGAAGTCACAGCTGGATTACAAAAATCTCTGCCAATGCATTTCAATTCAGTTTCCATAAATGTACTAAGCCTACTTGTCATAGGGAACTGCTCCAGTAAAACTGCATATTATGCTACAAAAAAGAAAAAATGTTACCCAAGAGCCATTAAATTGTTCTGATGTATGCTTTAATCAGTAATTGCCTCACGCAAACTATGGTGAACCACCCACTAGTTCTGACTTGCACAGTGCATACAGGTCAGCATAAGTTTTGCACATTACATTTGAGTTTTCTCAACAAAAAAATACATTCAAATTGACTGTTAAAAACTAACAAATTTTTCCAATTGAGTTACTTATAAATACATGAGAATGTTCTCTAAAGTAGTGTGTGAAACAATCAAGGAAACTAAAACTTGATCCCTTGTACAGTTTCTGAAACAGCAATAGTTGCTGGGGGAAAGCACACCCAAATTAGGTGTTGGTCATGGAAGTGGTACATTTTGAACAGAAGATGGCCACACACTGAGCACCAATTACTTTTTATGTTGTCACTTATTGTAAATTGCCAACAGGTGGTGTGTGTATGCATAAGGCTGTCGACACTTGCTTTAAAATTGCGTGTCTCTCTCTCTTAAAATTGCGTCTCTCTCTCTCTCTCTCTCTCTCTCTCTCTCTCTCTCTCTCTCTCTGATCGAGGCAGATGGCCGCACACCCAGAGCCAGGATCTCTCCAAGGTTCCTAACTGTTAAAGTCGAGTTTTTTCTTGCCACTGTTGCCCCATTACTTGCTCATAAAGGATTGTTGGGTCTCTGTAAATTATGGAGTACAGTCAAGACCTGCTCAATATGAAAAGTGGCTGGAGATAACTTCTGTTATCATTTAACGCTATATAGATAAATGGAATTGATTTTAATTGAAAATAGCCAAATGAGGTCAAAATAAGGTGATACAATCACTGAAGCTTACTGTGCCTTCATCCTCTTTTTAATCACCAGGAGACAGTTGCATAGACTTAGTTTTAGATTAGTCTTGGCCTTAGACTGGTCTTAGATAGTCAGGTTAGACTAGTCTAATTAAGCTTGTCTGTTGTATAAATATTAAGACACCTCTCCCCCGTCTAAGCCTGAGGTGAGAGCTTTGTGGCTATGGTCGTTTAGCTAGTTAACTATTTCAACTGTTTATCCATACATTTTTTCATCCTTGTATTGTTTCTTAACATCTTTAAAGACTGTTTTACCTTTTCTGGAGGTGCTGTCACATTCACCTTTTTTGTTCCTCTGTGAAATGTCTTATTTCTCCCATAATGCATTGTGCGACAGGCTGTCTTAGTCACTCAAAGGGAAGCTTTATGCAACAGCTATATTTAACTTTCTATAGCAAGTCTGACAAAAACAATTCAATTCAATCAATCATATGTCATAATGACATAACATGATGTCATGTTCATTATCACATATCAAAACATAAATCAGCTATGTATAAAAGTAGAAATCTTGAATATATGTGCAGAAATTCGGTCTTAACGCCCTTCTAGAAGAGTTATCTGGATCAAATCACCATAGCAGACCTTCATTACCTGCATCACTGTTTCTTGTATTGTTCCTCAATATGAATCATGCACCCACTGAATAGAAATGTAAAGTGCAGTAATAAAAGCTCTGCATCAACTGCTGATTAACAGCTTATTATCCAAAGATATGGTGTTAATAATCATACATTAGGAAACACTTGCAAAAAGACTGTGGTGATGATACACAGTAATTGCTTTCTGCAGACATTAGCAATTTAAACTACTTGTATGACACATCAGAAATTATTGAATTTTTTTCCCGCTTCTTTTCCCAAGGCATGCATCTCTTGTGCTGTCCCTCATTTGTGCAGTCTCATTAAGAGCCACAGAGTATCTTTGGTTTTTGAGCCTGTAGTCCCATGGGAGGCTTCAGAAAATCAGAGCACCAAATGCTACATCTTTTCCAAAAATAGGGGAAAAAAAGAAACAAGGTTATCTTTGTAGGTCAGCGCTGCCCACGTCCAGAGCGTTCATTTAGACAAATTATATGAAAAATGTTTTTCTTCGCTGAACCTGTGAGAACCACTTTGTAGTCCTCGTAGGCCCCTAAAGTAGTGCCTCCTGTCTTTCTTCTTGTAAAAGTTCTTTGGTTGCACATAGTGTGCAACATAGTATACGGTCCCAAATGCACTCAAAGCACTATTTTGTACTTTTTCTAAATTATATCCTTTCATCTTAAATTATTTGAAAGAGTTATACAAATTACTCTGGGTACTGAGGTGTGTACAAAAGGTGTTGGATCTTTTAATATGTGTAAATTGCATTTCCATGGAGATAGTGACAATAATCCGTTTTGTTATGCAGACCGCTTTATACTAATTGACTGCATTTTGATTGATGCATTTTGATTGCATGTGAAAAGCTGTTGGCAATGTGCAGCTGTTTGTCCCCTTCTTATCAGTTATTAACTGATTTGACCACTCTTTATTTTCACACTCATTAGTGAGGATCATTTTGCAAAACAGATGGGTGTCTGTCAGCCTAAAATTACTAAAACAGTTTGTACTGAAATAGAACAATTATTGGCTCAAGCTGCACATAAAAAATCCTTTCAGAGTCTATCAATCAATGAAATAGATCATTTAAATGCTTCAGTCATTACAATTGAAGATGACAGACGGTTTCTAAAAGGTCAAATACTTCCAAACTTTTGGGAACTCCTTTAATAACAAAAGTGCTTTATCGCTAAAAACGCTTTTCCAGTTTTCATTTCTTTCCTTCTGCCTTTGTAGAAAGCAGCCATCATTACTGAAGTGACCGCATAAGGATCACCATTTACCTAATGAAGAACGAATAACATAATTTTCCTGTGTATATGAGTTTACATCAGTGGTTCCCAAGTTTTAGTTTTTTAACAGGCCCCGAACGCTGATTGATTGATTGATTGATTGATCACATTTTATGTTAGCTTTGTGGTATGTCATTAAAAGCACTGGTTTATGTTGTGATTTTGTTGTTTAAAATAAAATGCCCCACAAATCTGAATCATACATGACAGTATAAGTATGAAGTTCAGCTAAGAAGAAGAGAACACGACTATGGCCCTCTTTGATTACCTCCAAGGCTTAAAGCCCTGAAACCTCATGGACTTAAAGGTAAAGTGTGTAGCATTTAGGGTGATGTATTAGCAGAAATGGAACATAATATTAATCAGTATGTTTTATTTAGCATATAATCACCTGAAACAAAGATTTGTTGTGTTTTCGTTTGCTTGAAATGAGGCGTTTATATCTATATACGGAGCAGGTCATCTTCACGGAGCCAGTGGTTCTCCTACACGCTTGGCACATGGGAGAAGTTTGAGTTGGTTGCAACCTGCAATCTCACCGCAAATGGCGCCGGCTCCCACACACTAGACCTTTAACTGATGTCAACTGGTAAGTGCGTGAGTGTGAGCCCTCGCACTCTCACAATGGTGCAAATAGGAATGGGACAGCACTTTGCAAAGAAATATCACGTTACCTTGACAATGCTACAAAAAGAGAATTGATACACTGACTGCCTGGTTTTAACGTTTTCCAGGCTCTTGGTTCACAGAGTGGACGAGAGGCAATTGTCAAATAGTCAATTCAGGCTACTTGTCAAAGCAGCATCATAAGCAAAATTAAAAGAATTAGTTGATGAATAAGGTGTTTAATAAACCCTATGCTTGCATTCCTCTAATGAGTGTGGCCGTTAGCATTGGGCCTTGAGTCTGCAGCCACTGATGTTGTTGCTGACGTTCAACAAGCTTGATGCTTTATTAGGTTCATGTTTTGCAAGCTACCATTTGCTAATTAGCACCAAATACATGATGTTACTAGTTGTCCAGCTATTTGGTGATAAAACAAATGATTGGAAAAATAAAAATATTGACCTGATGATGACACTAGATTGTTAGACTTAATCCTAATTTTATAATAATAACAATAATACATCGATTTTCTATAGCGCTTTTCAAGATGCCCAAAGACGCTTTACAGGGCAAAGACAAACAAAACAAGCAAACGTTTATGAGGGCAGAGGTGTCGATATGCTGGTGGGACTAGATCAAATTCAAGAATGTATTTGACAATTTTGTGCCACTACACTAATTCGTTTTGACTCTGGACTAAAGCGGTAAATGGAACAAGCAAACAAAAGACATCCCACATACCCACTGCTAGCAGACAAACAGCATTTCTACAGCAGCAGTAGTAGTAGTAGAACTAGTAGTCTTATGGAGAGAGAAGCTTTCTAAAGTACCTCTAAGGAATCCCTTAAGAAGCTGTAAGGATACAAAACAAACAAAGTGCACCCCCCTACACACACACCCACCAGAGCAATTTACTTGAACAGTAAATTGGCTGTGAATGAATGAATAAGCTGTGTCAGATGAAGAGGGTTTATGTTTATCTCTGTAGTCTCTGTACTATCTGCAAAAGAAATGCTAGGAAAATTCCTCTTAAAGAAATACATTTTAAAAATCCACATTTGCTCACTGAGATCTCTTAAGTTTTGAATTACACACCATTTTCAAGCCCTACAGGCCCCTGAGCCAAAGAAACACATAAAAGATCATATAGACCTGCAACTCAAGTGAGGAAAAACGAGAGCTGTGTGGTTTTGCTTTCATGAGAGAGTGGAGCTGGTTGTAACTGCAAGTCTGGGGCAGATGTTAGCCGGCAGGTTTTGGCTGTGTGTGCTTTCATTAGGTTTAGCTTTCATTCGCTCCCCGGTGACAGACTGGCTCTGCCAAATGAGCTCCCATGTGAGCCGACTTCAGTTCCAACCCGATGTCCAAAAATTGTGGCTGGCTGCAAAACTGGATGACGTGCATGTGCCGCTATGCATCTTCTACACACATCCGGACATTCAGTAGCATGAAATAGCTTTTGGTGGAAGACAGCAACACAATGCTCCAATCCTTTGGCACGTGTTTTAAAAGGCACACCCTTTGTACCTCCTTCACGTCACATCATTGTTGATGTGCAAGTTAAGACAACTTCTTTTGTCTTTTTTCACAAAACAAAAAGGTAGATTTATGGGATTGGAGAAGAGTTATTAAACTATAAACCTCTCTCACAGCAAGGCAGCGGGGAAAAGCGTCTCCAGGATAATGGAGGGGAAACGTTATTAACAACAGAAACAAACCCCTTTCACAATTCACACCGAATGTTCTCCAGTAAGCCAACAGTCGATATTTCTTTGTTAGCGTGTTGCTGCATTCTGTAATTATGTTTTTGCCCTTTCTGGGAAACACGGTCATGAAAGAAGAAATGAGGGAAGGGAAATTGAATTCTTTGCCTATGTAATTATTTAATGACGAATGGACCCATAAATTGGAGCAAAGAGACGGAAAGTTTTACATTCCTCCCCTCCAGAAGGGAAGCACTATTTCCTCTCGGTGAAATAAAATAATTATCTATTCTGTTGAAGTGGCACCATCGTCCCCAAGTATGAATTTTATATAAAGCATTTTATTACCAGCTGTATACTTTGATGATT